TGGATAAAATAACAAAAGAATATGATAATATACGTGAACGTATTGAAAATTATGTTCAAAAGTTTATAAATGAAATTGAAAAACAACGTGATCATGCATTACAAATAATAAATTAACGACAACATTTAAATGATGAAGCTTTTTGGACAGGAAATGGTTTTGATAATGGTGAAAAATTAGATTTTTTTATTTCACTTGTTCAAACAGGACAAAAAAAATTATTAGCAAAAACTATTACTGATAAGGATCTTATTCAATTATCGGATAATTTACACACAATGTCTGATGTTGATGAAAAATTAATTGAATTAATACAATTTTCACAATTAAAATTAGAATTTGATGAATTATTACCAACGAAAAAATTTATTCATCTATCAGATTTTCAAGAAATAAATAATAAAGATGACAAGTCAATTAACAATAATGAAGAAAACGATTGCATTAGTCCATAAATATGATTGTTTGTTTGTTTTTTTTATTTTATAAATGGGTATGGCCACCTAACACTGCTACCGGAGTGAAATTCCGTAACGTTTTTCGCTTATTTTGTTTTCTCGATAAATATCAGGCAGTAGCACGTGAAGAGTTGCGAGACGTCTTAAATTAAAGAGAAATGTCTTGTACATATTTTAAGATATTTTTCGCTTTTGGAACATTTGTCGTTTCCAAGATGTAACAAAAGAATTGAACACCACTTTTGAAAAAGTTATAATTTTCAGAATTGAAAAGTAGTTATCAGTTTTTTAATTATATCTTGGAAACGACAAACGTTCCAAAAGCGAAAAATATCTTAGAATATGTACAAGACTTTTCTCTTTTATTTAAGACGTCTCGCAACTCGTTACGTGCTACTGCCTGATATTTATCGAGGAAACAAAATAAGCGAAAAACGTTACGGAATTTCACTCCGGTAGCAGAGTTAGCTGGCCATACCCAAATGTTTTTATTGGACCTTTTTTTCTTTGAAGATTATGGAAGATATAGATTAAATAAAAATAGACTTAATTGTTACAGTATATTTTTCTTTCAATTAAATATTTTCATAAGTGATTTCTGTATACCATTACACGGATCTCGAATGTCTTGCTGTAATTGTCGTAGCGAGGTGAGAATATCTCTCACTATAGTAAAACCTCCCTATATCGACACATCTGAATTGTGATCACCTGTCGGTCTCCCGAACGTTTTTTGCTGGAAATGAACCTTTTGAATGTGGATACCTCTCTATTCTGGACTGTGGACACTTTTTTCGATCTCGTCTGCACTCAATAACCTCTTGAAAGTGGACACTTTGAAAGGGTTCCTTTGATGTCCACTATAGAGAGCTTGTACTATAATGTAAACAACGATAACTTTACAATGAAAAACTTCTTTCGGATTTCCTCAGATGAAAGAAGTTTGTAAGCAAATTGAAAATTCCATTACAGTAGTGATTAAAATGTCAGCTTCCACTAGCACAACTCAAAACCAGTTGTTACGTTGGTTTCTTTTATTAGACATAAAGAAAGAATTCACAATAACAAAATGGATTAACAGCATTCATTACATTGTTAAAGCCAGATTTGAATCTTTTCAGAACATCGTACTCGATAAGGTCGGTTAAGCAGCAATTTATGCAGTTGTCGTCGAATAAGATATGAAAAGCATGGTGTTGCAGTGAAAGTCCAACCAACAAAAGACATATCAAGTGAAACAAGTTGTTGAAAATGATCGAGAAGATAACAAATATGATTAACAATACGTTCTGTACATGCTATTTGACCATGACGAGTATTTGACGAATGCCAACCGAATTCATCATGTGATTTATGAAGAGAAAATGAAAAGTGTTTCAAGTCAGGCAGTCGATTGAAGATACGTTTGCAGAAGTATTCACCATTGCGTAATGTTATGCTCTCAGCATCCATATCAAATGATTTTATCTAATAAAGAAGAAATCTTTGACTTGTTATATAATGAGTAAAATCTTTCTACTGATCCATTTTTTTAAAATAAAATGTACTTAGTTCATTTTAAAAAATATTCTCTTGAAATTAGAGATCAATAGAAAAAACAATGGGATTAGTTTTAATGAGATTTCTTTTATAAGTATAGAAATAATTACCTGTTGATTGATACGAGTTGCCAGATTGGCTGTGTCAAATAATATAGCGCGGCATAAACTACCGTTATCTTCTTTTATTTGTAGCGTATGTACATTATAAGACATTCTTAATATTGCTTCTAATTCAGCTGCACTAATAAAATAGCTACCATCAATGACAATTTTTGTTAGCAATGACCATGGAACAAATGATGACGTAGGCTTTCTAGATTTACTGAGTTCATGATGAGAACTTCCGCCATTCAAACCTTCAATGAGCAGTTCATTAGCTCGTGGAAACAAACCAGTTGGATCCATAGACTTTGAAGATCTGAATAAAAAGAAAATTTTTCTATAGATCGCTCACATACAGACAAAACATGTTATACATACACTGACAAATGTTCAGAAAAAAAGTGCGTTTGAAGCTTCGTACCATTATATGGAGAAGTGTATAAGATAAAGCAATGGTGATCACGACCAATATCCCAATTATTTCGTTCTTGAATAATCACTCTCGGCTTTTGTCGACGAAAAAAAGCAGCTTTTACGAATGAATTATAAATTTCTTTTTCCTTCAAATCTTTCTCGATATTAAAGAACAGATCCAGAGCATAAGACGCCGATGGTTTCAGACGATCAATACATGTTTGTTGAATAATATCACCGGATATAGCAAACGGATCACAGGCAGATGCATATGAATTTAATTTGAGGGAAAAATGAATTAATTGATCTAATACACATGATAAAAGCACAATCGTTCGATGAAAACTCATGGTGTTCAAGCAGTTCACTCTAACACGAACTAGATTGCGAAGTAGATGAGCATCAACAGCAACGGGCATTCTAAAAATTTCAATTGTTTCGATACTGATTAAAATGATAGTATATTACTTACGAGACTATGTCAAATCCATCATCCTTGATTACCACTGGATCTGCTATACCAATAGAAAGATTTTGAATGAAAGGTATACACGGTAGTAAGTGTTCTAAAAAACGTGATGTGTTTACACCAACAGTCAATGTATGAAGATAAGTTGTGTTGAAAACATTTGGTAGAGACATCAACGGTGTTGTTGAAGATTTTAGTAACTTTTTACGACTTATCCGACAAAAATTAAATGGAAGTCGACAGATAGTTAATGCGGGCAAACATGAACATACCTTTAATAAACATGAAAAAAAAGAAATGCTTTAAAAGTCAATTTTCAAAGAATTTTCTTTCAAAAGGAAATTCCAACGTTCATAATGAATTCGAGTAAAATGTTCTTTCGTACCTTAGCCAGATATGCTCCTTCCATAGCTTGATAATTGAATGGATTATGTTCTGTTACATCAACGATTAAAGTATGCAATTGTTTTGTTAAATGATTACATAAAAATTTATCAAATTCATATGGTTGAATATCAATCAGTTGTACATGTCGAAGTAGCATTGTTTGATGATATTTCAAAGCTGATGAAACGAGTGACCATCCACCAACAACATACTTGAATGTAATACGTAGTGAAACAACTCTATGTCTTACTACTTTTAAAATATTTTCACAAAAATCATTGAACATCAATAACGACATTCTATCACCATCAATATGAATATGCCACAAAAATTGATACATAAAAATCGTTGAGAAACGTTTATTCAATGATGCCAATGATCGAAGAATATCAACAGGTGACAAATAAGCACATATTTCATAAAGAACATCGATAGATAGAAATTCAAACATAGTGACCATCATTTTCTTCATTTCTCTCATTGATTCCTTTGAGCTGCATTTATATATTCGCATGAACAATGAGCCGTGTCCGTCTGCCTTCTTTAACGGGTATTATTTTTATAATGACATTCATTTATTTTATACAACTCAATATGATTGGAGAAAAAAAACAAACAGTATTGTATGACAGTGTTGTTTTATGTTGTATTACAACGTTGTGTAACATTTTTTGGTTTATAAACTGCAAGTAAAGTTTAGAAACATTGGCACGTAACCACTTAAGCATTACTGTTCGATCATTATTTAAAGAGTGTGGGTGTGGGGTGGGTGTGGGTGTGTGGGTGTGTAGTGGGTGTGTGTGGGTGTGGGTGTGTGTGGGTGTGGGCATGGGTGTGGGTGTGGATGCGGGGTGTGAGTGTGGGCGTCAATCTTCTCTTGATCCACACCCACACCCCACACCCACATCCACACCCACCCACACCCCATCTCCACACCCACACCCACACACACCCACACCCCACACCTAGTGGCGTAACCAGAAAATGACCGGTGCCCGGGCGGTGCCCCAGTGTTTCAAAAATTTAATTCACAATAGTCAAAATTTTCATCGAAGAGTGATTAGTCCTCACAATTTTTGTTCTCTTAAAAAGAGAATAGAATATGTCCAAGACTGCGTAAATTAGGAAAAGTAAGAGTGATGATACAACCCAATTCGAGCAAATTTTACTGAATGAGCTTCAGAATCTTTCATTTTTCTCGCTCAAGAACACGGTTGCCCATAAGCCTTCGAGCTGAGCGAGGACCGACGATCTGTATGATCAATTAGGGATTTTTTTGAAAAATGTACACAAATTTTTACGGAAACTACAGCATTTTTTTGTCAATTTTGCGAGGGAAAAAGGACAAAATTGAAACAAATTTTCGAAAAAAATTGAAATTTTTTTACTAGGAGGGAGCCGATCTGATTTCGAGACCTGAGGAGGAGAACACGAAAAGTTCTTCGAAACAACAGTAACATTCTAGAATTTCGCCTTGAAAAATCGAAAATTTTTCATCAATGAGTTAGGGAGACTGCTATTCCTACACTTCTTTCAGTTTGGATGGCCCTGGACTCACCAATTTTACAAATCGGATTCACTTTCTTGTCTAGGAAACTTAGCTTTGTCACCAAAAAATTCTCGATTTTTCCATTTTCAGTTCTCAAATTTAGCGAGAAAGTGGCCCATTATCTCGAAAACACGCCCAAAAAAATTAGAAAATTGTCTGCCTTAAACTTCAAGGCAAATTCGCAGTTCTAAATGTATTTTCTTTTTTGTGGGGTGAAATT